GCACTTGCCTGTAATCCCAGCTACTCGGGAGGCTGAGGCAGGAGAATCGCTTGAACCCTAGGGGCAGAGGTTGCAGTCAGCTGAGATCATGCCACTGCACTCCAGCCTGGGCAACAGAGCGAGACTCCAACTCAAAAAAAAAAAAAAAAAGAATCCACACCACCCATCTCAGATTTTCTGAATTTTGACCAAAGGCTTTGGAGGCCACTGGGTGCACCAGATTTATTGCAGCACAGCTCTGTTGTGATTGGAGTGCAATTTAACACCAGGTCCGCATGCACGGGATGATGGGGCTGCCTACACTGTCGTCACTGTGCACCTGAAGGAGCAAATGATCTGCCAATGCTATTAACACTTCTTTTCAAAGTGATTTCAGAGTATAGACCACCTTAAATTATAACCTCTTGAATTTTGGTGCTTTGTGTTGAATTTTACTCCTACTTTACTACCGCTTAAGGTATTTCCTGGTTTTAGTGCCAGCTTGAATTTGTAAGATTTCCTAGCATTAAATGATCAAAAAATGATAATCACTATCATTATTTCATCATCTCTCCTTCATCATGCTTTTTACTGCATCTTTGGTTTTACAATGACACAGTTATAAATGACACCAAGAAACTGATCTAAAATACATTCTGTTGCATAAAAATTAAGTATTTGTTTGCAAATTTAGGAAGGTTTAATAACTTTTTTGCTATCTTGGTCTTCTAAGTTTTATGTTTTTGAAATAATTTTGAATTTTCATGAAAGCTATAGAAATAGCACAGGGCACCAAGTGTGCCTACATCCTGATTCTCCAATTGTTAACATTTCTGAAAAATTGAGGGTATGGTACTCTACTGTCCCTAATACTTCAGTGTATGTTTTCCAAGTACAAGAACACTCTCCTATGTAACCACAGGCAGCCATAAGAATCAGGAAATCCACATGGACCTGGTGCTACCATCCAAACCACAGGCCCCAGTCAGATTTTGCTGATTATCCCAATAATGTCCATCATGTCCAAGATTCAATCCAGGATCACATGCGTTTAGTTTTTGTGCCCTTTAGTCTCCTTCAACCTGAATCAGTCACTCAACCTTTTTTGTTTCTCATGACCTTGACCTTTTAAAAAAGGTACAAGCAAGTCACTTTGTATATCCATTAACTTTGAATATCCTTCAATTTGGATTTGGTGATATTTCCTGATTTATGCATATTACACCACTGGAATGATGCTATGCTCAGTACATAGGAGCAGAGACACATGGTGTTAGTTTGCCCTATCACCAGTTAGGCTAACTTTTATCACTGGGATAAGATAGTACTTACCAGGTTCCTTCATTCTAAAGTTAATAAGTATAATGTAATTATTAATCAATGAGTAATTAAAAAGTACTTTGTGGGGAAATATTTTGAGGCTATGTAAATCCAGTTGACACCCATTATTTGTGGCAGCTATGTTCTATAAAGCCACTGTGAACACTGGATTAGCCTGGACTGAACTTCGCTCTTATGGGAGGTACAGGGTTGGGTTCCTATTACAACATAATCCTCAACCAATCAGTCGATACATGACCTTGCTTCATGTATCTTTCTGTCTAAAGACTCCTTATTTAATATATAGGGTTGATTCATTATCACTGAACTTATTGTCAATTGCACTGTAACTCATGCCTGAAAGAAGCTTATCTAACGTAAGTATTTTCTCCGTAAGGCATATCATGGTCTTTTGCACTTTAGGAACCCTAGACAGCACTGTGGCACAGGGGATTTTAAGCAATGAGATCACCAACAAACAGTACAAAAATGCAAAACATGTGAGACAATGTATTATGGAAAGGACATGAGTTTACAATATGACAGCAGAAACAAGAAAGCAGAGTGTCACCTGGTTCCACCTCAGCTGGGAATGTGTGCCTTGGACGACTCAAATTTTTCTCTGGTCTGCACGTGATTGTGAAAGTGCTGCAAGTGTTAATTTTTGGGGTTACAAATAAATTTTAGCAAATAGGTGTCTTTGCAAATATGGAATCTGTGAATAATAAACACCGAATATATTTCATTCCTATTAGACTTTTGCTTACTGGTTTAGCATCTACAGAGGTCAAATTGTCCCAGATTGGGCCATTGAGAATCCTCCAAGCTGTCTTCTGTGTGCTTCTGACATGTCCTCATCATTCCATGAGCACATTTTTGCTTTCTTGTTCAACAAGATTTTCTAGGCTTATCTTGTATTATCTCTGCTCCAGTTGTAAAGTTAGACATTTTTCCAGGGAGCTCTGGTTCCTTTTAGTAGAAGATGGCTTTTTTTTTTTTTTTTTTTTTGAGACGGAGTCTCGCTCAGTCGCCCAGGCTGGAGTGCAGTGGCGCGATCTCGACTCACTGCAAGCTCCGCCTCCCGGGTTCACACCATTCTCCTGCCTCAGCCTCCCAAGTAGCTGCGACTACAGGCGCCCGCCACCACGCCCAGCTAATTTTTTGCATTTTTAGTAGAGACGGGGTTTCACCGTGTTAGCCAGGATGGTCTGGGAAGATGGTTTTTAGAAACCAAGAATTGGGTGCCAGGTGGATGCATTCCTACCAGGGTGTCATTACTTCTAAGCCTTGTGAGCAGACAGAGAAGGACCTATATTTATACCCACATACAAACACACACATGGTCTATCATCCATGTGTCTATCTTCATCTAATCTATTTATCTATCTGCCTATCTGAACCGTGAGTTCATACCACTACCTGCTTCCAATCTGATGTAGAATGATCCCCCTTTCCATATTTGTAACTCTCTTCTTTGGCGGTTAGAAAACTGATTTCCATTATTTTCAATGCATTTATAACTTGCTAAGTCTCCTTTGATGTAAAAAAATCAACCAGTCCCACCAACTAAAGGTACAACCGTGGATACTGTGCTCCCACCCCAACTCCTGGAGGGCTGTAGGCTGAAAGCTCAGCCCCAGTAAAGGAGATTGAGAAAGGTAGAAGAAAGAAGAGAGGAACTTAGAGTCGTTGAAGGTCTGAACTTTTGCTAATTCTTCTTAGATAACGGCAGACGTTTTTAATAATAGAAGAGAGAACCATCATGCATGTTTTTAGTTACACTTGAAATGAGAAGGCTATTTTATCGTGCCAAATGGCTATAGAAGAAAAACCCATTCCATATAACTAGTATTTCTTAAAATAGTCATGTGATAGTGTGTTAGTTTCTTATGTTAAAAATTTATTTTATATTTTTCCCAGATTTTTAGAGTCAACACATTGGCTTTTAATATACTGCTAAAGTTAATTTGAATCTTAAATGTTGATAGGTAATCTTAACTTTCTAAGTTCTAAATTTTGGATATGACGTTTTAATATACAGTGTTTACAAGAGGCTGTAGGATGACTTTATGAAGCACTTTGATTATGTTTTTTCTCTGGTGTGTTTATCCATGTGAAAAAATGAAGCATGCATCTTAATTTTTTTAATTGTTAATTTAAACTTTAAAAATTAAATTAAAATATAGTACATTAAATTTAGCCTAAATTTTAAAATGATGATAGTGAGCAGTCTTTCTACGTTTCAAATTCTGGTGAATAGGAAGCTATGAATTATAGCTTTAATAAAAGTTCTTGGCTAATTTTAATGAAATGACTCATTATGTTGAAAGAGATAACTGTTCTGAGGTGACTGTATTGCCAAAAATAATGCACCTTACCTTTTCTATGAAGATACGTAAAGATTACATAAATGTACATTAATTCACATTCTAGCCATGTAAAAATACAAAAGTATATACACAATAATCTCCTTTTTTTCCTATTTCCCAATCTTAGTCCCATTCAGAGAACATAAACCCTTAATAATCTGGTGTTATATATTTTTCCCAGATGTTTTAGAATCAACACATTGGCTTTTAATATACTGCTAAACTTAATTTGAATCTTTAACTGTTGATAGGTAATCTTAACTTTCTAAGTTCTAAATTTTGGATATGACATTTTAATTTACAGTGTTTACAAGAGGCTGTAGGATGAGTATGATTGAAAAGTATATATTTGATCATATAAAATACATTGTTTTGATTTGTTTGATTTTTAATTAAAAAGAATTACACACATATATGTACTTCTATTTTTGCAGCTTGCTTTACAAATTAATACAAATATTTCTTGGAGTTCTTTCATGCCAGTACATACAGCTCTATTTCATTTTTAACCACTGTCTGGTTTTCCATTATATGGCTGTGCCATCTTTTATTTAAACATTTCCCATTGATGGAAATGTAGATTCCCCCCTCCTACATTTTTGGTATTATAAACTATGCTCCAGTGAAAATACTTGCACATATATCTTGAAAAATATAGATGGCAGGTTCTGTGAAATAAATGCCTAGACTCAAGGGTGAGGCTTTCCTTTCTTGGAGGCAGCTCAGCAGATGCTAAGCCCCCACCTTTTGGCTCTCCTTTCCCTTTGGAGATCTTTGTTCCCCAATTCCAGTACCTCAGAGTGTCTGACCTCATGGCCTCATTCTTTTAGCTTTTTAAACTGTGACTATTTCCTGTTTCATAATGAGGCTTGACAATCAGAAGTACAACATCATGTAGATGCCCACAGAAGCGGAATAGCTACATCATAATGTTAGTTGGGAAAAGTGGAAATTGTAATTGAAGGCTGCATTGCAGGCACTTTACACATCTAGTGGACTTTGAGGCCTTAACAATAAATAACATTGTTTTAATCAATGAAGAAATGCAAATAATTCTAACAGTTTTTGAAATAGGAACTATCAGTTGTATGGGTATGCTTTTAGGTACTTTACTTAATTTCCATATCCTGGTTGAAAGTAAAACACAAAACAAAACAAAATCTATTTAGAGAGAATGGTTTCTAATCATCATCGGATCTTTCTATTTTTTTATTCTTTGGTGGCAAATGTTGCTGAATGGCTATTTCCGGTTCATTTCAAAAACAATTCAGTTTTATTTTGTTTTCCATCCATTGTTTATAACATTCATTTGTCATTTTTGTCATTTTGTAGACCTACCAAGAGCAGCTGTCAGGATCTTAAGCAACATGACATTCCTTTTTGTGAGTTTGTCATACACAGCTGAGAGTGCCATTGTAACTGCTTTCATTACCTTCATTCCCAAGTTCATCGAGTCACAGTTTGGTATCCCAGCCTCCAATGCCAGCATCTACACTGGTAAGGCACTGCCGCTAGGGCTGCTTGAAAACATGATCATTTTGACCATGAAATGGAATGGGTGAAGAGAAAGTTCAATCTAACATCGAAGTGTTAAACTAGTTCATTAACAGCTACCTTTCCCCCCAGATTTTAGAAGGAGGAAATCCTGGAAAGTGTTCTCTTTGATTCAGATTGTATTACCATGTGACACATTTCCCAACTGTGTTTTGGGAAGGGAGAGAATTTTGCATATTTATATTTACATGATTCTCAGTTTAAAGAAATGAAATAGGCAATGACATTCAAATTTAAATCTAAATAGATCTTTTTATGGGTTGGCATGGGTCTTAAAGTGTTAAAAAAATTGATAACCTGAAATATAGATCTGTTTCATGGTAGCAGGATTTCCCCTTCAGAAATGTGAACAGATTTTATTTGAATTACTGGAGATGTGTGAAGTTAAAAAGAAAATGTATGAATTTTATTTTAGATATTTGATGTCTGGGCAAACTGATTTTTAGGAGACTTTGATGCATATACCCATAGTACTTAGTGTTCAAATCTTCTTTCATAATAAATTGGATGCTTAGAAATGTGGAAACATTAATTCTCAGATATTGGAGAAATTTTCAGTATATTATGTAATATTCTAGATATTTTCTTAGTGGTATCAAAGATGGCTGACCATATCTTCCTAAAGTCTTAATTTATTTAATAAGGTATATTTCAACAGTTGAAGTATATTTAAATAGTGTAGAATTATGATAACTTTTCAGGTCACTTACACTCTTATGAGAATTAGTTCTCCAGTTCCACATTCAAATCCAGTAAACTTGAATTATCTGAAAATGAACAGGCATCACTGTAGAAAGAGAAATTGATTTGAAATATTTGGGTAATCACTTTGTTCTCTGCTTCATCTTACATGTATAAAGACATACAACATTGGGTTGTGGGTCTAGGATAGCACATGTTTTATAAAGAACATACTGCTGTGGACTATTGTAATTGTGACTTAAAATATGCTTTTCTCGATCTTGGTTGCAAAAATATATGTTTTCCTATGTTAAGGTAAAATTTCCAGATTATTTTATAGTTTAGTTGTGAGAAAATCTAAACCTTCCATTTGTAGTTTAACTCTTCCACTAACCCTTTGTTGAGCAATGATTTTTGGACAGGGAAAGCAAAAATTGTCTTGTAGTCGGATTCAAAGCCACACAGCTGTTAATTGTAGTCTCTAGCATTTCCCAAACTAAGTTTCAATATTCAAAGGTGTTACTGGGAAGACAGTTCATAATAAAATAAATTTGGAACTTGCTGAGTTCAACAAAGTATCATAGGATTCTTTACTGCAGGCCCTTTCATTTCCTTTAATATGCCGATATGCATTGTGAAACTCCCAGAAGACGACTCAGACTACAGCCTTTTCCAAAGTCATTTGACCATGAAACCCGATGTTTTTAGAGGCATCTTTTTCATAAACACAGTTCCCCAGGATACACATAGGGCACATAGGGAAGCCATACTGTGTGCCCCGGTTCCAGACAGACTAGGGAGCAGAGCTGCCTAGATCATCCCATTTCTCTGCAGTTGCACCATTTTCACCCCCAGGGTTAGTGGGAGAGTAGTGCAGTGCTGAGCTGGGCAGGCACTAATGCACCTTGAATGCATACTGGCTAAAGTCATCTCTTAGCTACTGGTGGAGGCTGAGGCTAGACAGACAACTTGTGGAAAAACAGAATAAAGGGTTCAGCTGGAGCTGGGGTGTCGGCTGCAGACTTCCACAGTGGTATGGTTGAGGCAGTGGCCACTAAATGGGTCCCACTTGGCCAGGGAAGTGCAGAATTGAATAAGGCTAACTCACAGTGTTCATCCCATGGTCCAATGTCAGAATGAAAGAAGCAATATCTCAAAAATGCCACTTCCATTCTGATTTTGTCATCAGCAACTTTTGTTTGTTTATTTATTTTGATCATAGTCAATGCAGTTTATACAATGTTTGCTATTCTACTTGTTCTGATAAAAAGCTTTTTATTTCCAGGTCGCATATTTTTTTTCTTTATAGATAGGCAACAAATAATAATAGTCAAGAGATATTAAGATTGATTAAGAGTAGAGGGGCCTGTTAAATTGCAGTAAGATTAAACAGAGGTAATTCTTTTTAAAACTCCTCTTGGTTTTTTTCTTCTTCTCTTTTTAAATTTTAAGTTCTGGGGTACATGTGCAGTATGTGCAGGTTTGTTACATAGGTAAATGTGTGCCATGGTGGTTTGCTGCACCTATTAACCCGTCATCTAGGTATTAAGCCCAGCATGCATTAGCTATTTTCCCTGATGCTCTCCTTCTCCCCTCAATCCCACAACAGACCCCAGTGTGTGTTGTTCCCCTCCCTCTATCTATGTGTTCTCATCATTCAGCTCCTACTTATAAGAACATGTGGTGTTTGGTTTTCTGTTCCTGTGTTAGTTTGCTGAGGATAATGGCTTCAAGTTCCATCCATGTCACTGCAGGACATGATCTTGTTCCATTGTATGACTGCATAGAATTCCACGGTGTATGTGCACCACATTTTCTTTATCCAGTCTATCATTGATGGGCGTTTGAGTTGATTCCTTGTCTGTAAATAGTGCTGCAATGAACATACGTGTGCACGTATCTTTATAATATAATTATTTATATTCCTTTGGGTATATCCCCAGTAATGGGATTGCTGGGCCAAATGGTGTTTTTAGTTCTAGGTCTTTGAGGAATCGCCATACTGCCTTCCACAATGGCTGAACTAATTTACAGTTGCACCAACAGTGTAAAAGCATTCCTATTTCTCTACAGCCTTGGCAGCATCTGTTGTTTCTTGACTTTTTAATAATTGCCATCCTGACTGGTCATGAGATGGCATCTCACTGTGATTTTGATTTGCATTTCTCTAATAATCAGTCATTTTGAGCTTTTTTCATGTTTCTTGGCTGCATGTATATCTTCTTTTGAGAAGTGTCTGTTCATGTTCTTTGCCCACTTTTCAATGGGGTTGTTTGTTGTCTTCTTGTAAATTTGTTAAAACTTCTCTTGGTTTTTTGAATTGTTATCAGTTTATTCATTCTTACTCTCTGGGCATAGATTTCATTTTTAAAAGAAATTTTAAAATTTGAGCTCTTTTGTTCTGTGAATCCCTTTTTTTAATGCATGTAGACTGACATGGGGAATTAAGAAATATATCTGAAAAAGAATTTATCATCTGACAACGTTTTTGAGTTAAAATTCTCTTTTCACTGAAAAAATTATTTAGGTAAATACCCTGACCTTCATTGCAATTTGTTTGCGTTGTGTTATGGATAGAGAGGAAGCACCAAACACCTACGGAAGGACTGGCCTTCTATTGCTCGCTCGTTCACATTGCCATTGAATGCCAGCTCTGTGCACAGCGCTGTGCCTGGTGTGTGGCTGGGGAAATCTAAAGACTCACACCAGCGCCTTAAGTTGCTTACACATCTAAGAGGAGAGAGAAAACTTATGAAATACATTAGAAAAAGCTGTCTAAATAAATTAACAGAAAATTTGGATCACAGAGATTATTTTGGCTGATGAGATAGTGTGTTTGAGTTGCATTTCATGGACAATGGCTTTTAACTAGGTTTTTAAGGGAAACTAGAATCTGCCTATTTGGAGTTTGGAGAAAAGGTGTTTATTTCCTGTGAAGGACCAGCTTGAGCAAAGGCAAAGCAGCAGGGGAGGATAAAGCTTCCTCTAGTGGTAGAGAAGGTTGGAGGGGAGAGTTTATCCCTAGGTCAGAAATAGAGCTCCAAAGGCAAGCAGGTGCAGGATGGGAAATCTGCTCATGGACCTTCAGCTCCTCTTCTCTCACGCCATAATCACTTGAGGACGCTTGTGCCTGGCGGGAGGTGGTGACACCAATGTCTGATGAGGGCATCATCGCAATACCACAGTCAATCCCACTTCACTCCTCTGGTATAGTGTTTTTCCACGAAACAGTGGGTTTGTGTCACAGTGCACTCTCCCTGCTCATGGTCTTTCTGCTGACCCACTTGGGGTCATGTTTATCTCTTGAAACTAGCTAAATATTATGAAGTTGGTATTTTGGAGAAGCCTGAAATGATGGGAAGACCACTTGTATTAGTCTGTTCTCACACTGCTATAAAGACATATCCAAGACTGGATAATTTATAAAGAAAAGTGGTTTAATTGACTCATAGTTCCGCATGGCTGGGGAAGCCTCAGGAAACTTACAGTCACGGTGAAAGGATAAGAGGCACGTCTTACATAGTGGCAGGTGAGAGTGAGCAAGAGCAGGAGAAACTGCCTTATAAAACCATCACATCTCATGAGAACTCTCACCAACATGAGAATAGCATGGGGGGAACCACCCCCATGATCCCATCACCTCCCACCTGGCACCTCCCTTGATACATGGGGATTATGGGGATTACAATTTGAGATGAGATTTGAGTGGGGACACAGGGTCAAACCATATCAACCCTGAAGGAGCAGTTATACAGGGTGCCCTTGGAATCCATTCACTGCCAGTAACTAGTTGCATGACTTTGGTCAAGTCACTTTCCTCCCTAAATTTCGGCTGAAACTGGAGTTTATCTGTAACTTGAGGATAGTCTCTCCCCATCTCTCTCTATGTCAGCATTGTTGTGAGGATCAAATGAAGTAGTGAATAGTGATTTGTTTTGAAGTTTACTTAACTTTAAATAGGTACAACAATACAAATGGAAAAATACAACCTGATCATTTCAGAGTAAAAAAAATACTATTTATGATGATAGCACCTTACATCTGAAGTTGTGCACTTTGAATAGGTCTGAGAATAAAATCTCTGTAATAATAATGATGATAATAAAAACACTGCTGACATGTACTGAGTGTTTACTAAGTTCAAGGCTCTACCTAAGCAATTTTATATGGATAACATCATTTAATCAATTTAACTAATGCCTATGAATTATTAATTATGCCAGTTTTCCAGATGAGAAAAAAAATGCCCGAAGGGGTTTAAG